ACTGCTCATTCTATACCGTGGTAAGTGACTTCGTGTCCACTAAAACCACGCCCGCCGCGTTAACAATATTACAGTTATATCGTCACGCCGTCGGTCGAGTCGCGACGGTAATATTTACGACTGCGGTTAAATCAAGTTCACAATAATAATATTATGTGACTCGTAACAATAACGCACACTTAACCTCCCCCCAACACCCCCCCCACCACCACAAAACCACACACACACAATGCTCGAAGACCTGAGGGTGTGTTGCTGTCATATTATCGCGACCAACACTCGTCGAGCGTACGAAGCAGTGAGATGTGAAAATAATAATCATCCCCTAACGCCCACCGAGGAATGCTCCACTCAAGACATCCCGTCGGGAGGCTGTGACCACACGCTGCTCGCCTGTATATAATAATAATAATAATAATATTATATATACGTATCGTTGTGTATTGTAAAAGTGGTAATAACCGTATTATTATATTATAGGTATACTTCGTGAGTCGTCTAGATTATAAATTTTATGGCAGTACGTTTTTGGGTGGTACATCCGAATAATCGCACGAGCGTACCCCATAATGTACTCGAACCGACTTTCAAATCCTGCACCCCCCCCCCCCCAAGCACAACTCTCGGCGTTCTACCCTTTCGTTTATGCGCACCTATATATATACGCGATATATACTTACCTATATGTGCAATGTCGTGGTAATCAACCGCCTCGACCAAGGGTAATAAATGTGTGTGTACCCGATAGTAAATAGTCACCCCTATAAACGTCTTACTACCGGGACTGACTTCATCATACGCCACGACCGCGTCGAGAAATAAATGATAACACGATCGTCTTTGCTTAATCACATTTATTATTTATATTATCATAAACCTAATATTTACTGAAAATAAAAGACATTTTCTGCTGAGCCAAATCAATTTGGTATAATTTGTGTAATTATAATTTGGAATATATCAGTTCCCACGTTTAATTCTAGAAGTAGCAATACAGTTTTTTAACCATTAATAACAGAGCACTAGTCCCCTGTAATAACTTACAAAACAAATTTGATGTTATTCATTTGTCTCGAAAAGCGTTTTCAAATTAATATATTTTCTTTCTAACTATTTTAGAGTCTGAGTGGAGCGAGGGATCTATAGTGATATGACAATGGTGTTTGTTTTTTTTTCCTGTATACAAAATTTCTACCAGAAGGAGTGCTTCGATTTCTACATTTAGTATACCTTATCTTTTAGCAAACTGGATCAAGATGGTACTTTAGAGAGATGGTATTTTTCGATTTTATCAATAGTTATATTTTAATGCCACGGGAAAAACCACCGAAAAATTACGAAAAACCGATAATAATGTGATTTTAATTTCTAACACTTTGCTAATAATATTATAATACTAGCTGACCCCATGCACTTCGTTTCCCTTTAAATTTACCAACTCTATATGACTACTCGAACTTTGTTCAATTCGTTGTTTAATATTCCGATGGCTAAGAGGCCAAAAGTTGTATGTCCAGTTTTTCTCAAAATCGTTTTATTAGTCCATAAGGTTTATCTGGGTCGTCTTTTGGATTCGGTAAAACATTATAAGTCAATTTCATGATTAAAACATGTTTTATTTATACTTTAATTTTTGTGTTTTTAGTGAAAGATATGTATTTTTAGTGCACACATATAACAAGTCATAATTTAATGAGACATACGATAAATATTTTAACATGATCTAAATATTAAGCGGACAAATATAACAAGTCCGGACTTGTTACTTTTGTCAAAAACAATTCATTGAATTTTGAACGTGTAATGTTTTAGATAATATTGAATTTGTTTATCTATTTATAAAAAAATAATATGTCCGGACGTATTATTTTAAATAATAAAAATTTTTAATTTTAAATTACACTAAATAATATGATATCTTAACTTAGCATAAAACATCATTAAACACTGGTTTTATTTGCTAAAAATTTGTTGAAAAATGCTACTTTATTATTTTTCACATTCAATAAAAAATTCCAATATATTTTATATTTTGTACTTGTTTACTGCAATTATATAAACAAATTTAATTTTTTATATTAAAAAAATAAGTCTTACGTACATTTTAACTATTTATGTAATAAATTAATTAGAGTTTATATTAAATTAAATACTTGTAATATGTCCATCAAAACCTTATATGTCCAAGGTAAAAATATATTATAATTGCCATTCATAACAAGTCCCATTTAAATTTAAAAGAAACATTATAATTACGTTTGAAAAAAATTTAAAACCTAAAAGTAATAATTTATGTAATCTACAGAATATTTTACAAATAAATCAGTTGCAACACCGAAAAACAAAAATCTACAACGCAAATTATTTGGTGTAGAATAATTTAAAATCTTAAAACTGCTCTCCCGAAAAATTTAGTGTTTGGGCCATACAACTTTTGGCCTCTTAGCCATCGATTCGGTGTATGGTGTTCAAAATTTATCTTGACTCTTCTGTTGGGATGCAAATTCTGATTCGCAGCAGTATATTATCAGGTGGCCAATCTACCTGCGGTAGATCGAGGACCCCGTGCTGTTTGTACTTAACTTTATAATTTAACTCTAAAGTAACAAAGTTATACCGAGTATGTTACTGAGCTCCTCCTAAACGGTTGGACTAATTGTGAATGCCGAGTCCGTCGACCAATATTTCCTCCTCGTCCATGAATACGTGGCATCGTGATTGTTTTATGAACGTTGGTATAACTTATATTTGAGTATAATACGCTCAATATTTACGTAATTTATTGTGATACATATTATAATATCAAAACACAGCGTACAAAAATATTAAATGCATCGAATGAATACACTGATTTCACGGCAACCCATTATTATTTATTACTAGCTGATCCCGTGCACTTCGTTACCCGTTAAATGTACAAATTGTATATGACTCAAACTTTGTTCAGGTGTATAATATTCTAGATTACTCTGAACTTTTCTGTTGCCCGGAATGAAAATTCTGATTAGCAGTAGTATATTATCAGGTAGGCAATCTACGGACCCCGTGCTCGTGCTGTTTGTAATAAGTGTATGATTTAACTCTAAAGTATCAAAGTTATACCAAGTTTGTCGTTTTTACTTAATTCCACCTAAATTGGATTAATACAATCAATTAATACAAAATCCTAACCTGACCAAACCGTACTAATATCAGATGAATAAAAAAAACCAAATTTAACCCTTTTTAAACATTTTTTTTTTGTTTTTGGTAGGTATATTATTTTTATTTCATTTTATTTTCACTCTGACCTGTACTCGTGTTGACTTCATATTTGTTTTCACCTACACAATTGCCTCGGAAATTGCCAATTGGTGTATATATAATAATAAATAAATAAAAAAATTAATAAATATAAACTTGACCGTGAAACTTCTTTACGTTTTGACGTACTATCAATGTTTTACTCTTTGATTAATCTACCTAGGTACTTAAAAATATATTTATTCAGTGACGCACTTTTATTTGGACTATGTTATTTTTCACCAAAATAAAGATAATATTTAATTTGCACCACCACTGGTGTTTTCACCAAACTGACGATCTATGAAGTGCCTGTTCGATTATTTCGTTGGTACCCTCGTTGAGAATGAAACTCAATGGACTCGAATGACATGTGATCATTGTTCGAAATTTCGAATCACCCAAAGCCTTAGTCTGATTATCATTACAAAGTTCGACGTCCGATCAGTCGTAATCGCGTTATTACATTTATTAATTGTTTACAAATATAATATATTTATTTTAACAATATTAACCACTGTAATAAAATATTATATTTTCTCTTTCATTATAATATGGTATATTTTTATTTTTATTGGGTAAGTACCTACCCATAAAATCAATATTGACGTACCGTGGAACGGTATAAGTAGTGTAAGTACGTAGTGAAATAACAATCTAAAATAGAATATTGTGTGTGGGGTTAACTTCTTATATTGCATTTATATTATCGTATACTCAGTATCGAAAAGTGTACGTACATTGAATGAATAATCGGTTTGAATTTTGTTGAAAATTACAATTTATATTTTTTTACTATTTTTGACGGTGCATATAAGTTAATTTTATTTTTTTGCGAATTACAAACACATCACAAACTACTAACTACTAATATATTTTCGGGCCCCTGTCAGTGGCGAAGGAATGCTGTGGTCGAAAGCCAATTGCTACTCCTAGGGTACCTCTACCTTTTAACTGTACACCAGTATGGGCCCATACCACCATATCAGTAGGGCCGCTGAGGGCGATCAGGGCGTACAGGACAGTATCAGACGATGCTGTTCTTATGTTCCTACAGTAACGGGTGAAAAAAATTAAAAAGTATCGAGAGAAATGTCACAATAACGCAGTGGCAGATAAGGTGGAGTTCTGCACCGGTGTCACAGGCAATTATTACCCCCTATATTATTACCGGGGGGAGGGGGGGTAATAATATAGGGGGTAATAATCGCCTGTTACACATAGATAATATAAGAATGGATAGGACATAAGAACTTATCACATGAAAATTCAGTGATACTATTTTTAAGGTTATATGAGGCAAATATTGATATGATAATAAATAAATAATAATAAATAAAATTTATATAATTTCATTTTGTTAAAATATTATTTTCCAATTTCCATTTTCCGGGCACAGGTGGCACAACAATCAAAATAAAAACTGACAAATATCTAAATATAACTGACCATCATGTTATTATTATTATTTAATAAAATAGTTTTGCACATAACCTTAAAAAGCCTCATATCGTCTTTCTCTCTTTACGTTCTCTCTTCCCCATAAAAGCACACGGCCTCATATGGAACTGGTATAGGCATGTCCTATCCATTCTTATATTATCTATGCTGTTACACCGGAAGCACAGTGTACCCGTCTCCTAGTTTCGATATGGGTTGAACGGACTCTCCCCGGGGGATACCACTCACCTACAGCATGACGCCGATCATGGCGGGGCATGAATGTTTCCAGTTTTATACTTACATCAGAAGGGCAAGGCCCCGATCCCCAAGTATCAATCACTGTCATCGCATATCTGACTCTGCTGAACTCACCGTGGTTTCATTGCCCTAGATGGGACTCAGTGAAGTTGGAAATCCATACTCGCCTGTGTCGCTCTCTCAATACGGCTGACTTGCCTGAAAACTACTTTTTGGGCCGGTCCTTGGACGACCTCCCAATTGACGAGGTACAAAAGGCAACAGCTCTAAATTAAGAATCATACAGATCAACGGTCTGTTGTCTTCGGAACGGTGAGAGGTCGTTTTTTCGAAAATTATGTGTACGAATGAAAAGTGTTCGAATTTTATATGTTAGAAAATTTAAATATTCGAATATTATTTTTATTGTGGAATCGACAAAATTTAATTTTTCGGTATACAAATGTATTATCATTATTATTATTATTTATAATTTAATATTGTAATATTTATGTATTATTTTAATATTATAAATAATACACTACACAATCGGTCAATCGGCATAAAAATGTATTATTATTATTCATAATTTAATTATACCTACACTTAAATGTCTTAAAAAGATAAATTATAAGCAATTCCCTTAAAAATTCTAAAATTTTAAAATCAGCATTGTTTTTACAGCTTAGAACAAGATTTTAAACACGCGATCATAAACCTATACCTATCAACAAAAAATTAGATGCATTATATCTGTGACTCTGAACGATATTCGTACACTCGTAGTTATGTTCAAACAGGAAAATATAACTTTCGTACATAATACTATTCCAACACAAGTCCATTCGAACAGATTTGTTCAAACACTCTTCGTTCGAAAAAAAATACATTCGAACACTCGACTAGTTCCCCTTCGAAACAGGACGAAGAGCAAACGAGACAGCGCCATTAGATCGACCACCAGACTGGTCTGAGGTGTCCCAGACCACGACTCTGAACTGTATCCTATGCAGTGTTCGGATTAGACAAGTACTTTTTTATCGAGATAAAGATAGAGCAACTCAGATGTATCTAGATAGATATAAAAGATAACTTAACTCATATTTATCTAGATAAAGATAAACTCTTTTTATCTAGATAAAATGAAAAGATACAATTATTTTTGAAATGGTTTTAAATTTAGATATATTTTAGTTGGGCACTAGGAACATAATAATAATAATAATAATGTTATAAATAAAAATAATTACATTATTTATAAACCATAATATTTGTTTGAGAATCTGTATAAGTATTTAAAAATGCATTTGTACATTTCGCGATTTTTATCAATAAAAAATTTATCTAGATGAATCGATTTAGATTAGTAAAAAAATTATCTAAGATAGTAAGATGAACGTTTAGCGATGAACGATACCTTGTATTTATCTAGATAAGATAAAATATGAACAAATAATTATCTAGATAATGTTTATAGTGTACTAGTATGAAAAACAGATTTATTATTATACTATTAAAATTTATGTATATTCCTAGGTAGGTCAAAAGCACTCGCTCCCCCAGCACAAGCTTTGCTTTTAGGGGGTGCTGCAATATTATGTAACTCGTGTTATTTTGTTATTCTTATTATGTATGTACTGCTGTTGTTGCAATAAAGTTCATTATTATTATTAAAAAAAAAAAAGCCGGAACACTGTTCCTATGGCACCAAGAGAGGGACAGGCGATCACGGCAGTCATGATTGTTATTTATTTTGTATTTAGTGATGTAACTTGAATTTTTTTTTTGTTCAATAAACCATGTTGCAAGAGGGTAAGTAGGTATTGTGCAAACGGTCCGACGCCAAGGAACATAAATATACAATTTATATTTACTGTAAATTTTGTTGCGAAGTGTCTACAACAAGGAAAATAAATATACAATTTATATTTACTGTAAATTTTGTTGCGAATTGTCTAAAGCCATATTTCTATTACATTATATATGTACCCACCCTAGATGCCAATAATATAGGTATTATATTTATCATAAGCTCGATATGTTTTTAATATTTAATTAAAAAAACCCATTAGGTGAGATGGATTTGAACGTAATTTAATAATATGAATGTTAAATACCAAGTGTGCTCTACATAATTTTGGGTTTAATTTTCCGAGTTATAATGAATATTATTTTTGAATGTGTACTTGACAAGTAGTACTCTTGTGTATCGATAAAGGATTACTTAGTTTAATTTGAAAAAAAAAAAACACTAAAAGACAGCGTACGTTAAATTGAACCGTTAAAACGGTCTTCATACTCTTCGAAGATAAAATGTAACATTCTTTTTACAATTTGTACTTCGGAAAGTATACAGAAACCTTACCTTAGAGTTGGACTGTTAAAGTTTATTTCGTTATTCGTTTATTAGCCAATTGAGTTAATTAACAGGACAACTAAACTGTAATTACTGTGAACCTAATGAAAGACATTTAACCGGTAATTGATACTTAACACTGTAAGGTCTCGGCGTAGAATAATAATTAATAAATTACAATTTCACTAATGAATATTACCGACAGAACAAAACGACTGAGTGATACAACGAATATAATATCATAATAAGCTTATTATACCCTTAGGAGTAAAAACCGATTTTCCGTTGGCGTAATATTATAATAATATTTATTATTATTATTTATTATTATCTGTAAATTCGTACACAACATATTAACGTTACATATACTCTGATTGTAATATTTAATTAATTAATTTTCTACGATATTAAAATTTCAAATGTTACAATTAATATATAGTGTACATTTGAGTTAACGAGCTTCCAAAAAATGTAGGAATTAAAATTAAGTCTCTGACCTTTCAAAATCCTAAAACACACAAACAATATTTATTGCATTTTTATATTTGCCTGACGTTGACTGTATCAATTTGATAATAATAATAAGTACTGTACCAAAAACTATCCGACACGTGTAATTTAAATTGTAAACTTAGATAAGAGAAATAGTTGTCTAATTCAAAATTTGTATTATATTTGAATAATATTAAAATCAAATCGAATATGACTTTTGAAAAAAAATTTTAAAAGTTTGCTCTCTCTATATAGTATACTAGCATTATGATAATACATCAAATTAATTCCTACCTTATTTCAACATATCAACATTAGGCACTCGTTAATCAAAATTATTTTGTAATACAAATAATACCTATATACAATTTTTTTTTTTTTTTATTTTATTAAAATAATAATTACAATCTATACAAACATATATGTACGATAGGTAATTTTTTTGATGGACAATAGCGTTGAATTGCAGAGAGGGAAGGTAATCAGTAGTACCACCGACTATACAATTATTTAACGAGTAATCAGTGAGAAACGGAAATACCAGACAACAACAAAAAAAAAAAAAAAAAAAAAATTGTTACTAGTTAAACGTGGGGCAAAAATTATGAAAATTGTATGGCTGATAAAATATAATTTAAGAACTCTACTTATGTCAGGAAGTTCCCAAAAATAATAGTCATTACTTTTCAAATTAATTTACTCTATAAAAATACCTACTTATTGATATTTTAAAAACTGTAAGCGATAAACTACTCGACTCAAATAAAATCGTTTTCCATCATAATTCGTCTAAAAATTTGATTTACAAACTGAATATTTTGAATTTTTTCAACAAAAAAAATTGTAAATTTTATTTTTGGTATTAAAAAAAAAAATGCAACAATAAGAACAAAAGTCGTTTAATCCGTCAAATCTGTCTGTTATACACTCTGTATAATATTTTCAACGTGCATTAAGCAGAATCCCGAGAAGGTACCTATTTTGTGTACCGTCTGAAATTGGATAGTATCGCTGTGACGGGAGACGTCGAGACATAATATTTTCTCAATAATTTTATGCAACTCAAATCCCAATTCTTTATATTGTATTGAGTCTATAACCCGTTGGTTGTCATTACGTCCTCTCCTCCACCTCGTACCGTGTAGAGAGTTATAAATTTACTCTAAAAAAATACCTACTTATTGATATTTTAAAATTTTTAAACGATAAACTACTCGACTCAAATAAAATTGTTTATCATCATAATTCCTCTAAAAAAAAAAAAATGCAAAAATAAGAACAAAAGTCGTTTAATCCGTCAAATCTGTCTGTTGTACTCTCTGTATAATATTTTCAACATGCATTAAGCTGAATGACGAGAAGGTACCTATGGTCTGAAATTGGATAGTGTCGCTGTGACGGGAGACATCGAGACATAATATTTTCTTAATAATATTATGCAACTCAAATCCCAATTCCTTAAATTGTATTGAGTTTATAACCCGTTGGTTGGCATTACGTAATCTCCTCCGCCTCATACCGTGTACAGAGGTACTAATTTACTCTAAAAAAAATACCTACTTATTGATATTTTAAATTTTTTAAACGATAAACTACTCGACTCAAATGAAATCTTTTACCATCATAATTCGTCTAAAAATTAGATTTACAAATTGAATATTTTGAATTTTTTAAAAAAAAAAAATTGTAAAAATTGTAAATTTTATTTATGGTATTAAAAAAAAAAAATGCACCAATAAGAACAAAAGTCGTTTAATCCGTCAAATCTGTCTGTTGTACTCTCTGTATAATATTTTCAACATGCATTAAGCTGAATGACGAGAAGGTACCTATTTTATGTAGGTACCTATGGTCTGAAATTGGATAGTGTCGCTGTGACGGGAGACATCGAGACATAATATTTTCTTAATAATATTATGCAACTCAAATCCCAATTCCTTAAATTGTATTGAGTCTATAACCCGTTGGTTGGCATTACGTCCTCTCCTCCACCTCGTACCGTGTAGAGAGTTATAAATTTACTCTAAAAAAATACCTACTTATTGATATTTTAAAATTATTAAACGATAAACTACTCGACTCAAATGAAATCTTTTACCATCATAATTCCTCTAAAAAAAAAATGCAATAATAAGAACAAAAGTCTTTTAATCCATCAAATCTGTCTGTTATACGCTCCGTATAAAATTTCCAACATGCATTAAGCTGAATCCCGAGAAGGTACCTATTTTATGTACCGTCTGAAATTGAATAGTGTCGCTGTGACGGGAGACATGGAGACAATTTGCATAATATAATATATATATATACACACGAGAAGGTTGTAAACATTAAAAAATATTATCTATTTTAACAGTATCTCATAAACGTCTAACCGTCCGTGTTTTTCTCGTGACTTTGATAATGGCATTATTGCTAATCCTTTGCTGGCAAATGGCTTTTGCAAGA